AAGTTACAGGACCAATATCGGATATAGCTATTAGTTATGGGACTAAATCAACAAATTTCCCGGGTTTTTATTAAACCATTTGTCCCACACCGGAAAACTATAAAACAATTAAACATTATATAAGGTTTTGGGCTACTCCTATCAGGTTGACCTTCTAGGATGGAACCTCGGGTCTTAACATGGTATCAGAGACAATTCCGGTTGTGGTTTGACGGCTTGTTTAGCACCCATAATTAAGGGTAGCTTGTTAAGGGTTTGTTTGGCCCGATTATACACCCCGATATTGTCAAGCCCGGTTCGGACTCAGGGGGCATGTTAAAGCATTTGTCCCACACTGGAAAGCTATAAAACAATTAAACACTATATAAGGCTTTGGGCTACTCCTCCTATCAGGGGCTTTGGGCTACTCCTCCTATCAGGTTGACCTTTTAGGATGGAACCCCAGATCTTAACAGTTTTAAGAAAACAAAATACAAATTGGTTGTTTTATAATTCTAACTTCCAAAAAGTAAAAAAGAATAATATGATTCACAAAATATATGTAATGATAGATAAAGGAATAAAGTCGAAAAGTAAAAAATTAGTGGAGTTCAATTTAGGAAAGTGTTCATGTTTTCTAGACAATCCAATGAGAAAAATGTATCTCACAAAATGAGACATAGGCAATATTATTTAGTGATAATTATAGGAGAAGTTGCCTCATATAGGAGTAAAACTTAGGAGAAATTCTTAAATAGAAGTATGTATGTTTTCTTCCCCAAATAGGACCATATTACTCTATTTAAAACATACGGACTTTTCAATTCCATTCTTACCCCTATTATGTTTAATTCACGGTCGATGCACTCTTCCACTCACCGTCTTCTCTCTCTGCTTCCTACGCATCATCCTCTCCCCTTCTCCATCGATTAGTTTCATCTTCCCTGCAAAGATCTGTCGCCTTCTTCTCTGCAAATCAGACCGGTGAACTTCTAAGCACGATGTCATCGATTTTGTACCTAGCCATATTTGCTGCCGCTAACTCCACTGCAAGCTGCCTACAAATCAGGTTTCTTCTCCTTCCTCATCTTCTTTCTCCTCCTTCTTCCTCCCTCCTCCTTCTAGCTTCCTCCCTCCTCCTCCTTCCTCCTCCTCCTATTATTCTATTTTTCAGATTTTTCTTCTATTTCTATGTTTTTTAAGTTTTGGCATTCGATTTGTTGATTTTTAGACTTTTATTTCGTATATCCATTTTTTAATTTCACAATTTTTCCTGATTCTCTCAATTTTTGGATGATGGCATAAGTTTTTGCCAAGTTTATGGCAGAAATGACCTCGCCGTTAGGCCGAGGTCATTTGGGGCCCTTCCCGGTAGAATTTTTTGATGAAATTTTTTAGCATGTTCTTCATCAAGTGCCCACAAAATTTCAGTTTAAAATTCAACCAGGCAGTCAATTAAATAAAATAGTAAAACATATTGCGTTTTATGTATATAATATAAATAATGCACAGTATATTTCAACCGGGAGTAGGGCTTGGCATAATAGTTTGGTTTAACCGAACCAATTGAATCAAACCGAATGGTTTGATTTGGTTTGGTTTTAAACCGAAACCGTAAACCAAACCAAACACTACAACTTGTAACATTTATAAAAATACTTTGTATTGTTTTCACTCTTCATCTTTACGATATAATTAAATAAATAATTTAGATATGAAAAATACATGTTTAGCATATACTACGTATCACTTTCACTATGACACATTCCATACATCCATTATGACAAATTTAGCTAATAAGACATATTTGTTATATCTTGTACTCTACCTATTTTTTTTGGCAAATCTTGTACTCTATGTCTCTACCTATATGAAAAGATGTTTGGTGATAAAAATAGCAAATTTCATTTCTATTATTTTCAGTTAAAATATAGTACACTATACATTTTACATGATTCATTTGAATAAAATTGTGAATTTTACAACATTTTTACCACCGACTCATTTAGTTGACTTTTGAATATTTTATGTGATATTATAAATGTTAATCAACTATATACTTATTTTTTTGTGATAGATGAATCTTTTCTCTAGTGATTGAAAAGATGTTAGACGTTTTCATGTCATTGTCTTTGTAAGATGAATTAGGTATTAATTTATAATATTCTATTATTTCTTTTTCAATCCTTACTTCCCTTTACATTTTGTTTAAATAATAAAGGCTAAAGGGTCAAATAGGTACATGAACTAACTTAAAGTGTTCAATTAGCCCCTTTTTTTATGAAATATTTTGAGCATCTTCTTCATTAAGTATAGTTTACCCATACCAAATTTCAGCTAAAAATTCAACTGGGAAGGCAGTCAAATGATTTTTTGAAGATAACTCCGCAGTTAAACAACGCAGTACATTTCAGAAAATTATTTGACTGTCTTCCCGATTTAATTTTTAGCTGAAATTTGATATGGGTAAACTAGACTTAATGAAGAAGATGCTCAAAAAATTTCATCAAAAAATTTAACCGGGAACCGTCCCAATTGGCGACGGCCGGGCAGAACTTCCTATATAAGGAGCTAATTGAACACTTTAAGTTAGTTCATGTACCTATTTGACCCTTTAGCCAATAATAAATACAAGAAGATGAGATGAACTACCAAATAAGTCCTCGAACTTAAATAAAAAGTGCAAATCACCCCTTATATAAAGACTCTATCCGGCCGTCGCTATTTGGGGCGGTTCCCGATAGAATTCTTTGATGAAATTTTTTGAGCATCTTATTCATTAAGTCTAATTTACTCATACCAAATTTCAGCTAAAAAAGCAATTGGGAAGACAGTCAAATGATTTTCTGAAATATATTGCGTTGTTTAGTGATTTGGTTTGATTTGGTTTGGTTTGTTACATTCAACTTAGATTTTTTAGCGGTTCTGTTTATTTTGATTCGGTTTTCGGTTTTTGATTTTTCGGACTCAGCCCTATGTTTGATACAATATCTCCAAACAGAATAAACCAAAATCAAACAAAGCAGATGAAAACTGAATCATAAACCAAATTGTCCACCCCTAGGTGGGACTTGAGAGGGTGTGATTCAAAGAAAATTGGCTTAATAATTTACAATCTATCCAAAATACTAATTCTAGACAAAATTGAATACGTTTAATAAGTATTTGCTTACGTTCCTTCTTATTAATATAAGCCACATTCTTCCAAAAAGTATTTGCAAATTTCTTGAAAATGAGCAGTCCGTTGAAATATAAATTCTTTTCATTGATAAAAGTATTTATATTTCAAATAACAAAATATCTTGTGAGGTTCTTATTTCATTGCTAAAACAAGATTCATTAATAAATTATATGATCACAACTAGAAATGGACCCGGGTAGGTCCAACTAGTCCCGATTCCGAGCGGAGACCGCCCAGTACAAAAAAATTGGTCGCCTGGGACCGACCCTCTATTTTCCGGGTCTTGGACAGTTTTAGGTAACCGGGCTGTCCTGTTCCAGTCCTAGACCCGTTCTATTTATTTTTGGATTTTTTTTTTTTGTTTCAAGCTTTAAAAAAATGGCCAATCCGGGACCGCGAACTGCTCCTGGCTAGACAAGGCCGGCTCAGGTCAAAACCGGAAATTTCAGACCCTGTCTGGTCCCAAACAATGCCGGACCCGGTTCCGGACCATACCAGACCGGTCCACCCTTAATCACAACTATCACTATAAAAACATCACAATGGTCGATGTGCACACTTTAATTAAGAATACCACAATAAGTATACAATCCGTGGAAAATTCATATACATTCATTACACAATAAAATCGAACAATGTATGGGACTGTGCCTTAGTATGGCCTATGGCACACGGCTGATCCGGTGCGTTTCACTAGTAATGCCCAATGCACAATGCCACAATGCATCACCACTCCCGGGAATAGGCACATCTGGTTCGGTTTCGGGTGAGGTAAAGGGGGAACGAAAGGGTAAAGCGGTTTTGTTCCAGGTTTATAAACCTATTTGTTAGAAAATACTCCCTCCGTCCCCTTTTAAATGGGACGGGAGATAGTGGCACGGGTTTTAAGAAAAGTGAGTTTGTGTGGTTGATATTAATTGATAAAGTAAGAATAAAGTAAGAATGATTTTGAGCCACACAAAGTTTACCAAATAAGGTATGGGGCAATTAAATAGGGACATCCCAATATAGTAAAACGGGACATTTAAAAGGGGACGGAGGGAGTAGGATTTAAATAATCAGAAACAGGCGGGTCTGGTCCTCTTTTGAGGAACCAGGACTTATTTGGACCGGTTCTGGGCCAAAAACCAAAACATCAAGTGTCGGGTTTGCTTTTACTATCCAAAGCCCCAGACCAAGTACGGTTCCGTTCCGGAACCAGGTCCAGTTAATTCTCTCCCCTCTGCACAAACCTCAACCACACAATTTTTACTTTATTAATCGCTGTGTGACTGTGTCGGTCAAACTTGACAAAGTTTTAAGGGACGGAGGGAGTATAATGACTATCATCTAATCAAAAAATCGAGGGAAGCCTAAAGTAGTACAGAGTTTTCCAAATGCATGATATTATTATAGCATAACCAAAAAATATACTCCGTACTATACTATACAATGAACTTACTAACACCATATATCACATTCCCAGCATAGGTAGTACAGACTTCTTGGTTTTCATAAAAAAACTCTTGTAAAATACTAGCATATCTATCTATACACAATTTTCCATCACTTGCAATGGAGCCAAAGATTCATTATTTTTTGACTTGAGAATATGATGGAATAAAGCAAAATGGCTCACCAAACTGTCTGCTCTTCTTTGTTATGAAGCAGCAGTCAGTCCATGCAATTTTGGACGCGATTTTCATTATGGGTCATCCGGAAACAGTCTCTCTGTACTAAAACTCTGTGCTTTAGTACAGGGGTAAGACTGCGTACATCCGACCCCCCTTACCCCACCTTAGGTGGGAGCCTTTGCGGCACTGGGGTAAATGATGATTGATCTATCTATACACAATATATGAAGAAATATAATCAGCATGCCACAACCTTGTCTAGAAATATTGACTAAAAAATACAGTTGATTTAAATTCATCCATTAGTTCCCAATACACATCACTATGTTCAGAGGGGAATTTTTAAAGTTTTCAGCTCACAACACAATGACATGACCTTAAACTAATCATTCAGAAAGATGGCAATTCTTTTGTCATATTAAAGAAACAGCCAGAAGGCCCATCTTTAGGAAGCAGTGCTAACCTCACAACATATTCAGCTCCTTGAGCTGCAGTTAAAGGACCAAGATTGTTGGTTATGTCAGTCTTGCAAAAACCAGGAGATATGGCATTGACTCGAAAGCTTGGATGAGTTTTTGCCAGGATCCTTGTGTAGGCATTGATACAAGCCTTAGCAACAATATAGGCCGAGACTTGAAGAGGCCAGCCTTTGGTTTCTAGCAAATCATCCCTGAAATCCATCAGAAACTGCTTCCCAACTTCATCAACTCTCTCTTCAGAAAGGTGGTTTTCAGCGTCGCTCAATAACCGTTTTGCCCATTCGTTAGGTATATTCTGCAACACCCCTAATGCCGCAGAAACATTGACCACAGTTGCAGAATCAGATGCCTGCAGAACGGGAGTAAGTGCTTTCACCACTCTTTTGGCACCATAGTAGTTTGTTTCAAGGCATTGTTCTGCTAAGTCAAAACTTTGACTTGCCATTTCATTCCAACTTATTTCCTTTCCATCTGGCTGCAATACCACACATACACACAACTAATACTCCCTGTGTCCCAAAAAAGAGCCTCATTTCACACACCTTTTTTACCCAATTAAAAGATTCATATTTGATCAAAATTTTCATGTAATTCGCAAAAATAAAGAATTCGAAACCACTACCATATGATAAATTGGATTAACCCTAAAAAGCAAACAACTAGCTCTAAAAAGCATATGTACGACTAATGATGTATAACAGTTTTACCTTACTAAAATTAAAAAATGTACATCAGTCAAACACGATCCACAATGCTATGATGTGCATGGTGCACTAACAAGAGTGATAAACACACAATAAGTAATAAATAAAATTTCCCTCTCATTCTTTCCACAGTTCCTAACACTTTTGGTGACATTTTCTGTATAATGTTAATCACAATGTCACATTCTAGATAAAGATAATTCCCCAAATAGGAGTAAAACATGGGAGAAGTGCAAAAATAGGAGTAGGTTTTCAAAATTTCCCAAATAGAAGTATTTTTCCGGCTTGGGCTTTGGGCCAGCCACCACTGCTTTCGGAGCTGCAGCCAGCACCGTAATTTTCCAGCATTAATCTGTCACCATCCCGAAGCTGCCGCCACCTTTCTCCGCATTAATGTGTAGTCTCATTTAGGGAATAATCAGGATGCACTCCAATTTAGGGAAAAGGAGTATGTTTTACTCCTATTAAGGACAATTACTTTTTTAGATATTGTGCAGAGATTAGCCAAAATTTAAAATTACAAAAAAAAGTGTAGAGTAAGAGAGAGAATTTATATTATATTTTGATTTGTTTAACTCTGTTATGCCATGTGTGCAATGTGTACATCATAACACTTGAGCCTATGAAATTAATACATCAAGAAGACACCATTGAAGTAAATGTTTAAGGGAAGCCTTACTATTTACCCAATCACCACAAAGCTCAACGCCTCTTCGAAAATTATCAGGGTTATATACAATTCCACCAATGCCAGCATTGTTCACCTGCACAAGATTTCAAATCTTCTTCATTTTTCATTCTTGCTCATAAGGACAATGTCCGGCACAATAAAAACCTAGACATGACATCTATGCCAAAATTTTAAATTCATTGAATAAAAATGAAGTAAAGTAGTTTACCAAAATATCGAGTTTTCCATACTGGATTTTGACAAATTCAGCCAAGGAAGCAACACTGTGAGGATCTACCACATCAAGCTGGTGGAAACCCAGTAAGTCATCAGAGATGCCAAAATCCTTGAGCTTTTGAATAGCTTCAAGGCCCCTTTTTTCATCTCTGGCGGTTAAAAGCACGAAAATCCCATTAGAGGCCAGCTGCCTACAGACCTCAAATCCGATCCCCTTGTTTGCTCCGGTGACAACTGCGTACCTGAGATTACAGTATTTAGAACATAATACGAGTAATTGTGAAGCGAAAGAAAACCTACGAAAAGTATGCTTAAGGAAACCTCTTTGGTGTGGAAGTAGCGGACGCTAGGGCCATATTCAGTTAGCACTTTACAGTGGATAGGATGGAATATAGCCTCTAAAACTAATCCAGATTTGGTGAACCCTTACAATATTTGGTGAGCACCATACAGCCCGCCCTTTTTTTGGCAATGAACTTCTTCTTGATCTGACTTCGCACCCAGCTTCGCAGATCTCGTCTGATTCTTCAATTTGACTTCGCACCTGGTTGACAGCTCACCACTCATCTTCTCTTTCTCTTCCGGGTTGTTGCTCGTTGTTACCTCTCACCCCTCGTCTCCTTCTTCTCCAGAAGGACACAGCAGATCCTCCCTATGTTTTTCTTTCACTCTCTTAGTTTTTCTCCTTCTTAATAAGTTTTGGTGTTTGAGATTGTGATTTTGGAAGACAAAGAGAGTCTGATGCACACATAGGAATCCTCACTCATATTGATCTCAAATGAGTTTTATATTAAAGTCAAATGAGTATACTGATAAAAGAAATGAATAAATATAACTGGATATTAAGCACATTAAAAATGAGTTTTGTATTAAACTTAAATAGTTAAATGAGTATACGCTTAAAAGAAATGAACATACACAACTGAATATTAAGCACATTAAAAATGAGTTTTATGTTAAACTTAAATGAGTATAATACCCAAAATCAATTAGCATACACAAATGAGCTTTTGAATTTTTTGATACTCATTTTGTAAATTATGTATGCTCATTTGATACTGCTCATTTGAAATGATACACATGTCAACTATAACGCCCAAAATCAATGATCATACACAAATGAACTTTTGAATTTTTTGATACTCATTTTGTAAATTATATATGCTCATTTTGTATTGCTTTATGCTCATTTTAAAATGATGCACATATCAAACATATCTTACTACATTAGACTCACGTATTGAAATTAATTATAAACATAATTTAAGAATTTTTTATAAACGAAAAAAAAAATGAATTAGAAGATATGAATCAGAAATCATTGGTGCTCATTGTTAGACTCCTAATACTCAAACGAACAGACTCAATGCTCATCACAAACGCATTATGTAAATCACTGATGCTTATAATTTCAAGTTGATGTTCAATGAAAATGTCTTGATGTTCAATTAAATGTACTTATGATTTTCATATCAATTCTCATTTTATAAGTATGTATGCTCAACGGGTATTCATGTTATGTTCAATTGTAAAATAACATAATAATGCATATTTCAAAAGTATCATATTGTATTAAATTCGCATACTGAAGTTCATAAGAGTTGATTATAGATATAATTTAATAAGTTTTTATTAAAAAAAAATAAGGAAAAGAAAGTAAATTCGAAAAGATGAAGCAGAAATCACGATGTTCATTGTTATGCTTCTAATGCTCAATATAATATGTATCATGCTCACTAGACGTGTTTTAATGCTCATTTAGTACAAGACGTGAATTTCATGTAAATTACAAAAATGACACCAGCTGTACGGTGCTCACCGTATAGTCAATACTTCGACACTTCCTTATTCGGTATCTAGTCTTTGCAAAAAATTAAATGAAAAATTGCTTTTGATTTTTTTGTTTTAAGAAAACTTAAAATTAGTGTTCTCAAATGATAAGTTTTAGGCTAACTGGTCAAATAGGCCCTCGAATTAACTTAAAAAGCTCAAATCACCACTTATATAGGAGATTTTATCCGGTCGTCGCCATTTGGGGCTGTTCCAGGTAGAATTTTTTGATGAAAATTTTTTATCATCTTCTTCATTAAATCTAGTTTAGTCATACCAAACTTCATATAAAAATTCAACCGGGAAGACAGTCAAATGATTTTCTGAAATGTACTGCGTTGTTTAACTGCGGAGTTTATCTTCAAAAATTCATTTTACTGTCTTCCCAATTAAATTTTTAGCTGAAATTTGGTATGAGTAAACTAGACTTAATAAAGAAGATGCTCAAAAAGTTTCATAAAAAAATTACATCGGGAACCGCCCCAAATGGTGACGGCCGGACAGAGCCTCCTATATAAGGGGTGATTTGCACTTTTTAAGTTAGTTCGAGAGCCTATTTGACCCTTTAGCCTAAGTTTTATTTAAATTAAACACTTAAAAATTAGATGGTGGAAGCGGATTGAACATGTCTTAAATTGGTTTTCGCTTTTTCTATTAACAAAACACACTTATTTTATCAAAAACTGCCAATTTTTAATTTCTCAAAAATATTTTTCTCTCAGACACTAACCACTTTTATTATTAAGCATTTTCTCTAAAATTATTATAAAAATCACTTTTAAAGTAGAAGCAATCGAAAACACTCATTTAAGATCAATTGAGCTTTGTTTTCACAATTCAAATGACCCGAAATTTTACAAACGATTACCTGAATAAAAAAGAAGAAAATTGACAATAATAGTATCGACTTGTGTCGATCCGTGTATAATAATTTCAACTATCGATTATTTTGGAATAATGTAAAATTTAGGGACCTTCCAATAATAATGGTCTCGCGGAAATAATTATAGAAATTTCAAGAACGAATGGTAAAGAAAACATTACTTTTAGGGTTTTCATGGTAAAAAATATGATCAATTTAAATATGGACAAAAAAGTGACTTAACTAAACCATCTGCCTCCCTCTTCAACATTTCGCCTCCAGGCTTCAGAGAGTTTCATCTTCTTCCTCTAGCAACTCTTCTCCTTGAGGAGAACGGGGGCAGGGGCGGTGATGGTAGCATGGATTAGGTAGCGGGATGGTCATAGTGTTGTTGGCGGCGGAAGGGCGCCAGAAAAGGAGACGAAAAACTTTCTCGAGGTGACATTGAGGAGGAGGAGGAGGCAGCCTAAGTAACTTCTGGTCGGAGGCGTCGCTGAAAATCAGGTGTCACAGGGCAGTGGCGGCGTCACTGTGGCTGACGATGGTCACCAGTGGGAGGCGGCAGTGGATGTCGTTGTGTCCATGTGACTATAGCGTGCCACTATAGTGTATCACAGTAGCACTGATGTAAATTAGTGAGCTTATTAGTTTTAAAGTTTAGAAATTTAAAAAAGAAGCTTAGTTTTTTTTTTCCATTGTCTATTTATTAGTAATATTCAAGTCAAAAGCCTCAATTTTAAATTTAAAATTTCATTATATTTAGATATTATAAATATATAAAGAATATAAAATATACGAGTAAAAAAGTTCAGTATAAAAACTTTATTGGAAAATGAAAGTGCGAGCTAAAGTCTAGATTAAAAAAAAAGACTAAAAAGTTAAAAGTTTAAAAGCTAATCATCATAAAATATTACGGAGTAATTCGTTATAAAATGTTAAAAGTCAATACAATTTATCATAAAATCTTAAAGGAACCCAAAATTAATAATGTATCGAAAAATTGAATTTTCATGGAAAAAAATATGAAATAAAATGTGATAATACTAATTTTTTAAACAATATACGTTTTTTTTATTTAGTTAAATTTACATATTATAAAATTATAATTTCAAATTTTCAAATAAACCTTCTTCATTTTTTAAATAAAATTAAGTCGATGATTGGGATTCTAAAAGAAGAATTTGCATAGTTCAAATTATTTATAGAATATGCTCAGTTTCTTTTTTAAAGTGGCCTGTTATTACATTTTACACTTGAGCATGGGCCATTAATGATGGACATGTCATATAGTTGGATGTTTTTAATCTTAAAGTGCTTATATCGTTAAAATAGTATTCAGCTGGGGTACAAAAACGTAAAAGGACCGCATCAATGGGAGAAGGTGGAAGTGAAAGAATCGATGGCTCTGAGAGGGGGTGATGAAGCCTGCGTGCAGCTGGAATGAAGTTAAGGGCACCAAGTTGAGAATCGGTAATCGACTGATCATCGGCTCACCTAAGGGCCACCAGTTGACATCTATAAAAAAGGACATAATTGGAAGAATGAAAAATAAGTGGCTGTATTTAGCAAAAGTGTAGCTGTGAATAGAATCACCCTTAATTGATTGATGAGTATCAATTAGCGAAGGTAGTACAGAACTACAGACTTGCCTTCTTTTATACAAAGTTCTCCAAATGCGTGATATCAATCATATCATTGGAGCATAAGTGCATAACCAAAGTTTATAATATACAATGAACCTAATAACACAAAATATCACATTCCCGGCATAGGTAGTAGTGTAGTACAGACTTCTTGGTTTTCCTTAAAAAAACTTACAGCATATCTATCCATACACATACGAGTATATGAAGAATTATAATCAGCATGTTACAACCTTGTCTAGAAATGTTGACTAAAAATACAGTAGATTTAAATTTCTGCATTAGTTCCCAATACACATCACTATGTTCAGAGGGGAATTTTTAAAGTTTTCAGCTCACAACACAATGACATGACCTTAAACTAATCATTCAGAAAGATGGCAATTCTTTTGTCATATTAAAGAAACGGCCAGAAGGCCCATCTTTAGGAAGCAGTGCAAACCTCACAACATGTTCGGCTCCTTGAGCTGCAGTCAAAGGACCAAGATTGTTGGTTATGTCAGTCTTGCAAAATCCAGGAGATATGGCATTCACGCGAAAGCTTGGATGAGTTTTTGCCAGGATCCTTGTGTAGGCATTCATACAAGCCTTGGCAACAATATAGCCCGAGACTTGTAGAGGCCAGCCTTTGGTTTCTAGCAAACCATCCCTGAAATCCTTTAGAAACTGCTTCACAACTTCATCCACTTTCTCTTCAGAGAGGTGGTTTTCAGCGTCGCTCAATAACCGCTTTGCCCATTTGTTAGGTATATTCTGCAACATCCCTAACGCTGAAGAAACATTGACCACAGTTGCAGAATTAGATGCCTGCAGAACAGGAGTAAGTGCTTTCACCACTCTTTTGGCACCATAGTAGTTTGTTTCAAGGCATTGTTCTGCTAAGTCAAAACTTTGACTTGCCATTTCATTCCAACTTATTTCCTTTCCATCTGGCTACAGTAACACGCATAAAAACAACTAACACTCTCAGTGTCCCAAAAAAGAGCCACATTTCACACCCCTTTTTAATCCCTATTACAAGAGCCACATTTGATCCGAATAGTCATGTTACTCACAAAAAACGAATTCCAAGCCACTACGACATGATAAATTGGAATTCCAAATGAATTCAGAACGATTGTTGATGTATAACAACTGTACCTTACTAAAATAAAAAATGTACATCAGTCAAGCATGATCTTCAATGCAATGATTTGCATGGTGCACTACCGAGAGTGATAGACACGCCAAAAATAAAGAATTCATTCTTTCCACAATTCTCTAACACTTTTGGTAATATTTTCTCCATAATGTTAAACACAATGTCACATTCTAGATATTTTGCGGAAAATAGCCAAAAATTAAAGTAACAACAAAAGTGTGGAAAGTAAATAAGTTTTTACTTGGACTATTTTCAGGCCGACTAAACCATAACAGATCAGACCATACTTAAAGGGACCAGACCAGGCTTCGACAGTTATGAAATACACAAACATTTACGAGACCAGATTTAAATAGACCAGACCAGATCAGATCCGAAAATTTTAATCCAATTAAAACATGCAAAGAGAGAGAATTTGTAATATATTTTGTTTTGTCTAACTCTGTAATGTCATTTGCGCAATGGGTACATCATTACACTTGAGCATATGAAATTAATACATCAACAAGACACTATTGAAGTAAATGTTTGATGGAAGCCTTATTATTTACCCAATCACCACAAAGCTCAACGCCTCTTCGAAAATTAACAGGGTTATATACAATTCCACCAACGCCAGCATTGTTCACCTGCACAAGGTTTCAAATCTTCTTCATTTTTTATTCTTGCTCCTAGGACAATGTCTGGTACAATAAAAACCGAGATATCTATGCCAAAATTGTAACTTCATAAGAGTGAAGTAAATTAGTTTACCAAAATATCGAGTTTTCCATACTGGGTTTTGACAAATTCAGCCAAGGAAGCAACGCTGTGAGCGCGGATCTACCACATCAAGCTGATGGAAACCCAGTAAGTCATCAGAGATGCCACAACCCTTGAGCTTTTGAACCGATTCAAGGCCCCTTTTTTCATCTCTGGCGGTTAAAAGCACGAAAATCCCATTAGAGGCCAGCTGCCTACAGACCTCAAATCCGATCCCCTTATTTTCTCCGGTGACAAGTGCGTACCTGAGACACAGTATTTAGAACATCATAATTGTGAAGCGAAAGACAGCTTACGAAAAATAAGCCTGAGGAAACCTCTTTGGCGTGGAAGTAGCGGACGCTTGAGCCATATTCAGTTAGCACGTAACAGTGGGTAGGATCATAGGATGGAATATATAGCAGCTAAAACTCATTCAGAAATTGTGAACCCTTGAGGTAAGCCAGATACATGGATACCTTCGTATTTGGTAAGCCAGTAAGGTACAACGATTATTGAGCTTTGCTTCTGCATTTCAAATGATCTGAGGTTTTACCAACGGTTAATATTTGCAGGCGCTTAGGCGCTTAGACGCATGTTCACAAGTCACAAATAAGGCGGTTTTCAAAACTGATTTTTGAAAGTGATTTTGAGAAAAATGATTAATAGTAAAAGTTGGTAGTGTTTGAAAAAAAATGATTGTTAAAAAGTATAAGTTGGTAGTGTTTGAGAAAAAAGTGATTATTAAAAAATAAAAGTTGGTAGTGTTTGATAAAATAAGTGTTTTTTGTGTAATAGAAAAAATGAAAAGTAGTTCAAAACACTTATCAATTTGCTTCCATCTTTTAGCTTTTAAGTGATTAATTTAAACAGAAACTGTCATTTGAAAACACTCATTTCAGTTTTTTAAGCCAAAAGCTTAAGAGCACTTATTTTAATCTTTAGCAAACACTCCCTAAATAATGTTTTCATACCTATAGTATTTGGTACCACGTATATTTTAATTGGATCAAAGTCATTGTACCATACTACCTTCGTGTAAAAAAACTTTGTCAATTCAAAAAAAACTTTGATTTTGATTAGTATAATATTACAGAAGTTATAAGTTTTATACTTTTATGAAACTATTTTTAACAAAGAACATTTTTATATAGAGGTTGTTTGGTAACCCTATTATCCGGCTTATTAGGCTTATCAGCCAACTTTTTCATCAAACATGCAACTTTTGTTTTCGCGCGCTGAATTGTGTAATACGTAGTAAAGAAAAGTAAGACTAGAGTTACTTTTCTTGCTGTATTGGCTGAAGTTACGGTAGATGACCATTTTAGTTGTTTTACATATAATTTTTTCTTTATTTTAATGATAAAATATATTTTAAAAATATTTGTTTCTTAAATCAACAAAATCAGTCAATGCAACCACTTCAGCCATTAGTGAGTTCAAACTAATGTTGTTAATACTCTTAGCCGCTGCCACTCTTTCCCCTTCACCACTACTAGTAAACTCACCCGTGCGATGCACGGTTTGAGAATTTTTCTTTCAAAATTATGTGTGCTTAGTAATTCAAATCACAGTATCAATTAATGACAACATCTATCTTCATGCAATACTGATATAAATCAAAGCAGTAAACGAAACACACTTATAATATGTCAAAATGAGATTACTAAGCATTACTTATAAGATCAAAATTCAAAAACATCCAACAAATACATTGAAACCATAACTATACTAAAGCACTACTTCCGGGTACTTCTTATTGGCCTCCATACATGCTATGAACATACACTCCTTAACTAAACATGCCCGAACCACTGAATCCAGAGGCTGATCATGGCAAAAGACAACATTTTGTTCTTCCGGCAAATGGAAGCTCAAAGGTTCAACTGACGGGGTCTTATATTGAATTTCAAACCCAAATATGCGCCAAGCAGCCTCCCACGCAGAAATGTATCTACAGTCATAGTACATCTGTATATCACCGACTAATTGTGCATCGCACGGTTAACATTTGAAGTTGTTAATAGGAATGCTTGAGAATCAATACATTTTAGCTCACACTAACTTATGTCAAAAAATCATTTCTTTTAGTAAAATGTTTTGCTAGTAATTCACCTTGCGATGCGCAAATGATTTTGCCATTTTTTTTTCATTTTCAAAGGTTTATATAGATTAATCGAAGATAAATTATTTATAATAACTAAGTAATAAGGTGACTATTAATTTACACGAATTGCACTTTTAGACGAATTGTCTCTCTAAACAAATAAAATAAAGAAGTAAAATATGTGAAAGTGTGTTATGTCATTCTTGAATTATATTGAATCTAAATTTGTGGGAAAATGTTCAAATAGGTGTTTCTACTATTTGTAATATTCAAGTGTGGTCTGGTCTGGTTTATTTAAGTTTGGTTTGGTCTGATACTAAAATAAGTGTAAGTATAAACATCTCAAGTAATATGGTGACAATGCATTTTTTTACACAAATTGCCCAGATAAATTGGCAAATCAGGGGAGGGGGTGTGCAAATATGTGAAAGTGGGTTATGACATTATTAAACAATACTCAAAAATGAATTTGTGAGAAAATGTTAATTGAGTTCGTATATGAAAAGTAATGCTATCATTTAAACAAAATAACTTTCGAAACACATTCAATAGATATAATCTATAGTAGTTCTTAATTAAAAAATAAGTACAAATCCAATTTCTAATTTCACTCCCTCCATAGTTTACTCCCTCCATTTTTGATAAAATTTTCCTTTAAAACTACCTAATTATCTTTACTTTTTCTAACTTTTATATGGAGTATTGTTTTTTTTCTTTTTTCATCCCTTTTCCTACTTTTTCTACGCTATTCATTACCCCGTACTATTTTACCCTTAAATATTGTACACCCAATGCAATGATCTTTTAAATACTGAGGGAGTCTACTGTATAAACTTATCCAAAATTGATATCCCAACTTTAATAAATTATTACTTCACATATCGGGGCATTATTTTAATCATGTGGTATAGCCGTATAGGTTACAAACAATTGAAAACATAATTTGATAAAACCATCCACTCTAAATAAATTGGAAATTGGTGGAAATAACTCAAATAAGTAGACCTTAAAATATGTAAAGTTAATTTGGGTACAATTTTTTTATAGACTACGTATTTTTTTTAGAAAATCTGTAATTTTCAACTGTCCCACAGTAATTACTCCATATTTTCTTACTAACCTGACTGCATACACCGATACACGTACTTCAGATAGTTAATACTCCGTATTAGTTTTATTAATAAAAGCCCAAATCCAACTGCTAACCCATTTAAATTTGACAGCCCAAATTAAAACTATTCACACCCTCCAAGACACACGTTAACATCATTCGTAGGGTTTGGCGTTCCAGCTTCTAGATTCTGCTCACTCCATCTTCGTTTCTAAGTTCCGACTACATACGAAGCATCTGACCTCAAATCAGCCTTCCCTACTTAGCATTTGTTTAGAAATCTACAGAAATCCTTAACACAAAAAATGGATGCCTGTAATTCCTACCACTTTAATTAACGATTCGGGAGTTAAAGACAACAAAACCAAAGATTCTGGATTCTAGATGGGTAACACTCTATACGCCAACAAAAAGGGAGATTCATACCATTTGTGTATATTCAGAGTTAAAGAACCGTTAAACATGTAAGTGTAAGCCTCATTTAGTGAATGGATCCGTCGATGGCCACTTCTCCCACGGCATCGTCCACCAGGGCCACTACTTCTTGGCTTTCCGGTATTGTCCGGGGCCGCTCGAAGAGCGTGCCAAATAATTCGACCGCTTCCGCCGCCACCGACTCCGTTAACGACTCGCCTATCACTAAGAAAAAGCAGTTCCGTGGAGTGATGTTTAAGTACGGCCCCAATTCTATCCAGGTAGCTTTCAAGACTGGTGACTATAAGCAACAAGTTATTTTTATAGGCGGACTAACAGATGGATTTTTGGCTACAGAGTATTTGGAGCCTTTGGCGATTGCTTTGGATAAAGAGAAATGGTCACTAGTTCAATTTCTTCTTTCATCTTCTTATAGTGGATATGGGACCTCAAGCTTGAAACAAGATGCCGTAGAGCTTGATCAGCTGATAAGTTACTTAATAAACAAGGAAGATTCTGAGGGTGTGATACTTCTTGGACACAGTACTGGATGTCAGGACATCGTGTATTACTTGCGCACCAATGCTGCATGTTCTAGAGCTGTTCGTGCTGCCATTTTGCAGGCTCCTGTTAGTGACCGGGAATACAGAGCGACTCTACCTGATACTGCTTCGATGATTGATTTGGCCTCAAAGATGATAAGTGAAGGTCGGGGTTCAGAACTAATGCCACGGGAAGCAAACCCAGATGCACCTATAACTGCATATAGATATCACTCTCTGAGTGCCTACAATGGTGATGACGACTTGTTCAGTTCGGACCTCAGTGATGATCAGCTGAAACAAAGACTTGGGCACATGGTTAGCACACCTTGTCAGGTGATCTTTTCCATGGGAGATGAGTACGTTCCGGATTATGTAGACAAGAAAGCATTAGTTGATAGGCAAGGAAGTTAATCTTTCAACCCCCCCTCCCAATGATAATTTGTGGTTCATAAGAGTCCTGTTGAAACTCGGTAATATAGGGTTATGTAGAGCAATGGGTGGGGCTGAAAAGGCTGAGATTGAGTACGGAAACCATTCTTTATCAAACAGAGTAGGAGAAGCTGTTGAAGCTATCATGAATTTCGTCAAAAGAGATGGCCCTAGCGGCTGGGACGACCCTTGGACATAGTACCTGATGTTACTTCTTGCACCCCTACCCCTACTCGCATCACTTATTTTTTCTCTTGTTTTTTTGTTTTTCCAGTTCTTTTACTGCTGTTTCACTTTGTGTATTTTCTTATACCTTCAATTGTTTTTAAAATCATCTGTAAATCTTCACAACCTACAAGCTTGTTTTTGCATGTTTCAAGGGCGCTCCGTCCATTTCCCAAGAAAATACGGAGTAATTGTTTGGGGAATGTGTTCCCTGCTCAAATTATTTTCCTTTGATATAAGTTCTATGTAATACTCTGTATAATGTTTAAAAAAAAAAAAAAAAAAAAAAAAAAAAAAAAAAAAAAAAAAAAGCCTCATTTAGTTTTGTTCTAATAGTTTTTCCCTACATGCATCTCGGGTATCACTAAACTTTTAAATCAAAACACCCAATTTTCGATTCAATACAAATCAAGAAGATTTACCCGATTGCCATTTTAGAAGTTTTAGATCCGCTGAGTTTTGTAAGTCTGTTTGAGAGTCTTATTTTAATTTTTTGCACGGAGTATCATACTCCTTTTTTTTTAATTCGAATTCTTTTTATTTTCTTCTTTACATGCAGCTCGAGATTTATTATGATATCCCATTTTAACTAATAAATCTAATAAGTTGAGTTTAAATGTCAAAGTTATATTTTTTTTTAACTTTAAAATATTTCTTCTATAACAATATTTTTGAGGAATATATGAAAGGTTTGTTAAAACATATGAAAATTTATTTATGTTGAGGAATACATACGAAGTTTTTTTTATTTAGTTATTTTACACATAAACCCAAACTTAATTCAATATATGAGAGGTTAGTCTTTCTTTAACAATGTCTTTATCTAAATCATACTAATAAACCATACTCCCTCCATCTCCGAAAGAAGTTCTCACTTTCCTTATTTGGATGTCCCTAATTTAAGTTTCCATTTCCTTAAATGGAAAGTTATATACATCAAAACAGTGTCAAACAGTGCAAAATAGTGTCAAACAGTGCCAAACAATGTCGAAACAGTGTCAAAAAAGTAAAATTTACCCCCTGGTACTTTTCCTTGCATAAAAATGAAAAATGTGTGAAAGTCAAATGGGGAACTTCTTTCGGGGACAGAGGGAGTACAAAATAGTAAATAGTGAAATGGACTAAGAGTAATCTTAGTGCTCTTCAATACTCCCATATTCTATTTATGTATTTCAATAGTACCATAATGTATTCATGCACAACTATATATACCAAATAGTTGAGATTTCTGGAGATTGCACAAATCTGCAAATTTTCGTCCATATAAACTTTAGAGAATCTGAACTTTACAAATCATCTTCTATGTAACTTTAAAATGTCACCCATACGCTATAGCTGTTTTTATCAACAAAACAAATTTGTAAATTGCCTTTTGATATCTTCTAACCGAACATCGTCATTGTATATATCATGAAATTGGTGTGAAATGTGAAAACTTCAAACTAATTTGATGTGTAGCGAAAAACACGAAAGTTGATCCTCTAAGTGATTTTTGGCCCGAAATTATGTACACATGACCCGTCTTCAAAGTCAATCTTATTGTAATTTTGTACCTGCCAAAACAAAAATACATACCCATAAAGCTTAGTGTAGGATATTAGCAAACATAACTATTTTCACATGAGCAACGTCTGGCTAAACATGAAAGTGGAATTTTGTGAGAGAACAACATACATGCAAAGTCATTAATTTCTCAATAAATTGCTCTCGAATGTGAGCATGTATCTTTGAGACCTGCAGATTTTTATCAATTAATTTTAAAATAACTCTATAAGAAGACATAATGGGATTTATATAGGAAGCTTTAAACTATAGAACCTCACCATGATATATTATTTTCAGTGATTTGAGACCATCATGAGCAGGTTCACGTTACACCCTAACACCATAATAGCTCTCTCTTTCATTGCCCTTGTGGGTTTGGAGTATAGACCACATTCAACCATTTTGGTAGAAAAATTCTACGATTTGCTGTGGTGTGGGAAGAGTCATGCCCGGAGGCTGCTATTATAGGTGAAATATGGAATCTTACGCATCATTATGCATGAAGCAAGTGCAGTGTGTTTTCATTGGGAGCACATTAAAAGGTTTGAATTACTTATTTATTTTCATTTAATTTCCTGAGGTATACGAATAATAGATTATATTATTGGTTGGTTGTAAATTTATAATATAATATATGAATTGCCACTGTGTAACTAACTGCCCTGGTCATGCCAGCCAATCAGGGGGTGAGATATGGTGTATTTCCGATTTAATTCAAATTAACTCTATTATTTCCATATTTATAGATCCTGAAAAAATGAAGCATATTCAACTTCAACCATATGGTGTAAATTGCAGGTATACCATATGGGGGTGATATTTGGTATAACAATTTGGTAAATACTCCCTCCGGTTCTTTTTAAACTTCAGTGTTTGACTTCACAGTTATTAAGGAAATAAAGTTGACTTTACTGTAGAGTACACTGTTGAGACACTGTTTGGCACTGTTTGGCACTGTTGAGACACTGTTTGGCACTGTTGAGACACTGTTTGGCACTGTTTGACACTGTTTTGGTGTAGATTTCTTTGCCAAATAAGGAAATAAGGAAGTGTGAAGTTTATTTTGGACCGTCCCAAAAAGGAAAGTGAGAAGTTTATTTAGAACCGGAGGGAGTATAACCTTATAACAGAAAAAGGTTTTCAAACTTGCGCATGTATGGTTTTTGCCGAATTGTTATTCCGATTTGAGTTTAATCATCACCGGAATTTTTCTTATTTATAAATTTACTGGGATTTACTTATTAACTTGCACACAATGATTTGCATTTTGATGTTTTCTAATGCAGATTTAAATGTTGAAACTTGCAAGCATTTATTCATAAATTTGCAGCAAACAAAGATTGTTATTGTTTTCAATTTGATTCTCTAATTGTTGTAATAATTAGATATACGTAAGATTTAGGAGACATCAATCTCCAGGGCATACTGCAGGTATGCTTCCTAGGCATTGCTTTCCTTAGAATCTCCTTCAATACCTTTACACTCTTATGCATGGTTTGGAGATGGCTAGCTTAAAAAACAACATTATTCCAATCAATCAATTACCTAAAACTGTGCTGCAATTTTTTACCTAAAACTGTGCTGCAATTTTTTACAATCCGACAAAAGTTTTTTAAACACAACTTCCTTTGACATTCCTGGGTAAATAAAAGCACAAATACCCAAAGGTTAATATACCCTAATGAGTAACCCCCTTTGTTTTGAATTTAGCGTCAACTTTCTAGGTGCAAATCCTAGTATGTATGTATAGCATTTACAGGCAAACCTTTGTATGTTCACGGAAAAATAAAAAATAAAAATAAAAAAAAATTAGAAATGTACATCCAAATTTAAAAACCTCTTCGTCATGATAGTCTGATAGATCACTTTCCAAACGGTGAAAATCCAACGTGGGCTGGCTCACGAATCATACACCACATACCAACCACTTTAGAAATAAATTTAACTTGTTTTTAGCAATTCTACTTGATGTGTATTGGTGTGAGAAGTGTGATACCCGAAGGCTGCTTATATATATAGGTGAAGTGAGATGTGTAATTAACGTGGCTAGTTCATTTTCAACCATTGGCTGATTTGAATTTGGAAACAATAAATAAGGTATACTATTCCAACCACCCATTCAACCAATAGAATTTAAGTTTTGACTATTCACACCACCCACTTCAACCAATAAAAAATAAGAAGTTTATTTAACTAAAATCCACCATCCAACTAATTAATTATGAGACTGTACCCACCTCCTTTTCGACCAATTGCAGCACTTATATTTTTTCCCTTCAGCGTATCCTTGCCCATCCTCCTCCTGTAAACAGTGTTCAAATCTCACTTCATCTCATGTGGATCCTTCCCACCGTTCAACTGACCAATACTAACTCACCACCTTTATCTTGACCTATAGAAACTCACCATGCAAACAAACTATATTATCGGATCTTGCAATTTGCAATTTAATTTTGATGGAAAAATGAACAAAAGAATGATGTTGACATTTTTGGGAGGGAACCCTATTCACAAAAAAAGTGTTCCTTTAGATATTAATAGATTTGTCTTCGGTAACACTTCTATCTTCCGACCTAGAGAGAAACACAAAATATATTATTCCATGCTCAAAATATCACAAGGTTTCTAGCTACTTAGCAAAGGGCCATAGTATCTTTTAAGAAAACATAAAAGAATCTTCTATATATAAACGGTAATTAAACAATGATTCACTTGTAGTCATGTATTAATGTAAATGCTGAAACAGAAAGTTCCCTATTACTTAATTGTTTCCATGCGGTTTACTAGAAAGTTCCCTGCTACTTAATCTTTCTAGTAGTTATTTTTCACCAGATTACTTGGGCGGATTTAGGATTACTCGTTGTTCCTTATGCATTTATTTCATCTACATTTATTTTTTATATTTTTGGCTTTTGTATTTTGATGTGGTGCTCAATTTAGTTTTTTGAATTATCTCTAGGTAGGGATGATGAACTAAAGCAAATACTACAAATTATCTGATTATCTTTATCAGTATTTTGATGACAAGTATTTAATACTACTATTCTTAATACATTCCTCATCGGATTCAGAAGCACTGCACGTTTTATTTTGAATAACATGACCTCAGATTCAGAAGCAGATTCTATTTCAGATCTTCAAGAACAGGTAACTTGTATGATTGGTTTTGAGAGCATATTCTAGTTTGTTATTGTCTTAGGAAAATAGGACATATCAAGCATAAACACATCATTCTATAAGATTATCTATTTCTGATTTGTTGTATTTTTCATGCTATATGTTCTTCCGCAATTCTTTAGTTCTAAAACAAATTGAACGCTCCTGTGGAGATAGTATGGTTGAAGGTTGAGTTCTGTAATTCACCAGAAGTGAAGAGAGCCGCAGCAGTACTCAGGTTGGTTTTCAAGTCTAGTTTTATTAAATAGTACATGTACTAACTCGTTTTCAGGTGCTTATATAGCTTAAAGTTTTTGTTCAATATTTTAGATTTTTAGGTATACCGGAGCACCCAAAGGACGCGGCTTTGTCAAGTAGTGACTGATGTTTGAAGTTCGCGATGCATTGACCATATATATTCTTGATAATTTATTGTAAATTATATACTTTAGATGGTAGATTTACTTCAAGTTGGTATTATGTATTGTATTCTTTTTGTACTAACCTTAGTG